AGACTTCTGAATTAAATGACTCACTTCTGTGCTTACATCAGCTAACCTACATGAGGTCCTGGAAAATGCAAAACTGAAGAGGTTAGGAAGTCAAGTACCTTCCCTCTGAGTAAAAGCAGGAAAAGCACTGAGCTCAAACTGCAGAGTGCAGGCACAAAGAATGCAGTACTTCTCAGGCGAAGGCCAGCATTTTAAAACTGATATATATTTGACTATAATTCACAGATGTCCAACCAAGTTTTTGTAGTATATAGGACATCATTTGACAGTAAAAGCTGGCTTTTCAAATGACACATAAGTTCATGTCCTTGGCATGAATGAAGAATAATATGAAGCTGAGCATTGGTGGCTCACTGTAATCCTAGCTGAGATCTCAGGAGGGTGAGATCTGAGGACTGCTGTTTGAAGCCAGCCCAGACAGATAAATCCTGAAGACTCATATCTCTAGTTAACCAGCAAAAAGCTAAAACTGAATTGTGGCTCAGGTGGTAGAGCCCAGCCATGTATAGGAAGAGAGCTGAGCATGAGTGGAAAGAGCGATGAGTGAGAAGTACTGAGCTCAAACTCATTATTGGTAAAAAAAAGAAAAAAAAGAATAAAAAAAGAAATAACTACAACTGTGGATTCATTATATTCATGCTATGAGCTTAGGTGGAGTTGATGAAGATTATCAGTCTCAATTGAATTCTTCCCTCCATAGAAAGAACTGTGTCACCATAGGTCCCAGGATTGCTTTCAAGTGGCCCTGTTACTTGGGTGTGGCCTACCTTTTTGGCAGGACACTTCATTTTACTTAGGTGTCATTGTCTCTCTACGTGTCTCCTTCCCAACCTTTCCTCTGATCTATCCTCTCCCATCTCTCTTATCTCTTCTCCCCATTATTTAAGCAGAAATGGGATTTGAACTCAAGCCTTACATTGGTAGGCAGGCACCATAATGCTTGAGCTACGGCCCCAGCCTCACACTGCTTTTCTCATATCATAAACTTTAGTTAAATGATCACAGACTAATAAGGCAAAGAATTAAAAAAAATTAAAATGAAACCACTTCTTTAACACACGGAACAAATTTAGTTCCATATTCAGCTCTAGTATGAAACAATAAGTTCTGGAAGATGACAGTTGATCTCAACCACATTCCATTGCTAGCCTTGGCTTCATCTGCCTCATCTCTTCAGTGCCCTGGGGTGGGCTCAGCCCTTTCCTCTTTACCTTAGGGAGAATGTACTCAGGACAGATGAGATAAGAATCTGGAAACCATTTGATTGTTTTGGAACTCAAATTATATTTTCGTAAGATCATTTTGTCAGCCCAAGTGCTATGAATATCAGCAAGAATTGAGTTAAACTCATTTTGGGAACAAAAAGATGGAATATTTAAAACTGATGTCCTTAAAGTAAGAAATCTGCTCACAGAATCTGCAGTTTATATCCTGAGCAGCACAGCAGAACTCTGCTGACATGGTTCCCTGGAAAGGGGTGGGGGCAGGGGTTGAATGCTCTTATCCTAAACCTTTTGTGCTTCATCTGAAGATTATTAACAGCCCTGGCAGATAACTAACTTTTCTCTCAGAATTCTCCAAGAGACAGAGAAAAAAAAACAAACAAACCATCCCCCCACCCAGTTTCTGAAATGAAACCAAATTCCATGATAACGACTAACTCACAACAGACATGACATAAATTAAGTCGAACATGCAAAATGTCATTAACTTCGCTTGCCAGACCATCTGCCCACACCATCAGAGGCTGCTTAAACCTTAAACATGCTGGGTAGAGAGAACCTTGAGACTCAGAAAAAGTTGTTGTTCCTGGGGAAAAGGGTGGGTGGTGGATAAGCTTTGTTCATAGAAACAAAGCACTTCACATACTGACTTGCAGGAGGCAAGTCTTAATTTTCACAATACATTCTCAAGTCATCTACTGACCCTGAAATGTTCTATCAGAGAAGCACAAATAGGGCAAGTACTAAAAGAAAGCCTTTAAAAAGTAGCAAACACAAACATAAACTCAGTGGGGAACAAACACATTTCTTTGTTAGGGTCTAATCTCTCTTGAGTACAAGATCATTCATTAATCTTAAACGCAGAACTGAAAATAGCAAGTGAATTCTTTTTTTTTTTTTAATTTTTATTTTTTGTCTGTTGGATGTGGGGCTTGAACTTTGGGCCTGGGCACTGTCCCTTAGCTATTCAGCTCAAGGCTAGCACTCTACCACTTGAGCCACAACAGCACTTCCAGTTTTCTGGTGGTTTAATGAAGAGTCTCATGGACATTTCTGCCTGGGCTGGCTTTGAACTGTGATCCTCAGATCTCAGTCTCCTGAGTAGTTAGGATTACATGTGTGAGCCACCAGCACCTGGCTAGTGAATTCTTACACTTAGGCAGAGGTGTTATCTCTTTTTTTTTTTTTTTTTGCACTTCAGAGCCTGTTAAGAAGACCTCTGGTCTCAGTGACAAGTATTAAAGGAAATACATGTCACCACATCACTACTTCAAGATTGCTAGGCTGAGTGAGAAAATGCATTGGATGAGGAAACTGGTCAGCTATCTTCACAGGTAAAATATTCAAAGGACAGGATTTTTAAATTCTAATATCCCAGTAGATCCTAGGATAAAATGATCCATTTCTGCAAACCTATACTTTTGGTAGTGATTATTCTTTTATACTGAATATAAACAGAAATTGCTGTTTCAAGTTCATGTAAGCCCTATCATGTTATAATAGACTTGAGATACTCCTAGTTTTATTATTCCAAACTCCAGAATAGAAACTTTTCCTTATGATTTCTAATCTGCACATGTCTCTCACACTTTGAGGGTTGGGGATGAATTCTTCACGTGATAGTAGGTACTGCATATAAATATCTACCTCTGTGTAACAAGCTGCAGACTCAAGAGCCCCTCATAGAACAGAGGGGCATTCCCAGACTCCCACAGCAACCCTTATCTGTATGGTACCCCCTAAAAAAGTGACCTTGCTTTCTAGGTCAACCTCCCAAGATCTAACTTTTTACATTTATCTCAATGGCAATTTTATTTCAATGACTGATGAATAAAATGATTATGAACTTATAAACTTATTTCAGGGAAAACCCAGGTAGATCCATGGAAACATTTTTTTTTTTTTTTGCCTTCAGTGCTGGTCCCCTGTGGATTGAACTCAGGGCCTACGCACTGTCCTTGAGTTTTTCTGTTCAAGGTTAGTGCTCTACTACTTCTAGCACTTGGGCGACAGCTCCACTTCTGGCTTTTTGGTAGTGTACTGGAAATAAGAATCTTATAAGGACTTTCCTGCCTATATTGAACGTTGGTCCTCAAATCTCAGGCTCCCAAGTAGCTCACTAGGATTACAGACAAGAGACACCAGTGCCCAGTGAAAACACACCTTCTAAAAATGTAAACTTGGACTATGAAGGCGATTCTCAAAGAGCAACCAAGAAGTTACCTGCATGTCAGCAGCCATCACTTTATACTTAGCAACTGTAATGTCTGTCTCATGATGCACTGACTAGGCAACTCAACCCCTCAGTTATTAAAGAAACAAAAAACAACTCTCCAAAATAATTGGTATTACTACAATAAAATGTTTCCAAGTTTCAACTGTATTTTTGAATAGTACATGGCTATGGATGGGCCTTAGGGAGAAATGCTCTTAGGCACCAAATGCGTGAAAACGTCATTTATCTTACTTATTACTACTAGGAAGAAATGAATTAATACCT